CTTCCAACCCCTGCCATTCTGTGATTCTGTGATTCTGTGAGTGCTTGAAGTATGGATGGTGAGTGTATCTTAACGGCATTGCTGAGTCCACCAACAGCTGACAGTACAAACAGATCCCTATATACAGAAAGATGACAGGGTTTGCCAAAAGTCATGTAACATCCCGGTGGTAGAGTCAGGAATGAGCTCAGATCTGATGCTGCCTATGCCTCCGAGGCTGAACGGGAGATTTTAATCCCACAATGTTTAAAGCCGTTTGCCTATCTAATCTAAACCAAACAAATTACATTACACTGAATTAAGTAAAATTAAAAGAGCTGAAACTCTGAGATGCTTTACTGCATATAGATAGTTTAATGCGAATGAGAAGCAAATGGGAGAGAGATGTTTATTCAAGACTAAACTTTCCTGGTACTCTGTAATGGCTTATATTCAGGTTGGTTTACAAATCTAACTGAAGTGCTGATTCCCCGAGATTTGTATTTGCATAGTCAGTTTGGTATCTTCCCACTACACACAGCAGGACATTGAATTTTTGTTGGAAATTGATTTTGGAAAGAGCAACTAGTTTATCAGGACTCAGGAGACTGCATACTGACTTGGAAGAAGGTGCTATGATAAACATCAGAAAGTAAAAGTTCTTTATTGAAGTCTCATGAAATAGTCACTCTTCAGAGAAAGGAATCATTCTAGGAACACAATTTATCTGCTTTACTTCCAAGGCATTTTTTCCAATCTTCAGTTTAGTAACTTCTTGCAATTTTGGTAAAGTGTTGCTAAAATATGCTACTTAAAGAATTTATTTCAGAATACAAGCTGCTGTTTCAGTACCTCATGATACTTCTCCACAGGACATGCACTTTATTTAATCATGAAAAATGGTATCTATCACAGATAGGCACCATTTAAACTTCAAACCTAACAACTCTTCTGTTTTCTTGTAATTATGAAGAAGCAAACCACAGATCTTATCTATCACTTTGTTGTAAGTAAAATCTAGTGTGTAAGTAGTTACAATGGTATCAATGTAAAGATACTGGTACAGCTATCTCTCATCCAGAAAATAAAATGAGCTACATCAGTGAGGCACTGTTACTCACCAATCGCTTCCAGTACAAGGAACGGATCAGTGTTATTATTCTGGTAACACAAAACCACAACCCTCACTGCAGATTTTATGACCCAACAAGAACCTTGTATAGGTCAGGCTTTATGTGAAAAGCCCATACGGTTACCAATCTGTTTAGTGCAAAACGAGACTTACTAATCCAGGTGAAGAGGTGAATATATAATTCTCAGACAATATTTTATACTTGCACTGGAGTTTTGTAGGTGAAGAACTAGGCGGTACAGAGAAGGCTTGTGTAGTGACAGAAATCTGGGTTCAGCATCTTTCATGAGATGCTTTGAAACAATTGCAGGATACAGAATGGATCCAGAAAGAGACCTCAAAGGGACGCTGACGACTTCACTGCTCCATCTGTAACCTTGCTTTGGTGGTGGAAACTCACTCTACTCTCAGAAGCTCTATGTTAAAGCGACAAGGAATTTACGTAAGTGTTGTTTATATTATAAGCAAAATATCTGAAGCACGAGGTGATTGAGGTGAAACTCTTCCAGCCTGCAAATCATGTCATTCTTCCTCAGCGTAAACTGCACAACACTTGTCCTATTTCCAGTATTGGTGGGAATAGGAATGTGCTAATTCAGTCATTTCCTTTTTGTCTTTACAAATAAAGTGCAGGTCAGGTCAGGTCAGTCACAAGACTGGTTCTGTGCCATTCCAGTCAATAACAGCTCCTTGCCACCTAGAAATGAAAGCAATCATTTTACATCCATCAGTTAATCAGGTCAGTGGAAAGGTAAGCCAACACCCCCCAACCACCCAATGAACCTTAAAGAGGTTAGGATGGACTTATTTGGGATAACTCATCACATCTTCTCAACGGGAAAGGAACAGAAGAGAGGCACTTGTGCCTCCTAATTTTAAGTGCCCAAGTTTGGAGGTCAGTATCCTTACCCTTCCTCCAATCTCTTCTAGGCAATAGAGAGTCCTCAGCAGCAGCTGATACAGAATAAATACTTCTGTGTTGCAAAGACTGTAGGGAATCTCCAAGATGGGTACAAGCACTAACCCTGTATAACCTACATAACAGCCCAGTTTCAGCTGTTAGTAGGCTATTTGCACACTCCTATACAGGCAGGCCTCTGAGTAGGAGACCCTGAGACCAGATCATTTCATTTAGCAGCTGTCTTTGCTCCTGACCTTGGTTCCTTTGAGGTATTCAATAGCTCACTTTAATGGCAACGTTTTGCTTTTCCTATGCTGGTGTCTTGCATTTTCTCTGCCCTCATACACTAAAGATGTATATGAGAACAATGTTTCCAAATGAGTTCACACACATGTGCACAAAAACCTTCCATGTTTTTAATTCCTGGCTCTGTGTTGGCTGCTACTGCTCTGCTGCCCACTCCAGGAATGCAACCAACACTGAACACAAAGAAGGTATCGATTTGTCACCAAATGTGTCTTCAAATCATGGCAGAAGACAAAGATCCAAACCAAGGCTTGGTGAAAGCAGGATGATGCTCTCCAGTGACTTCACTGGGATGAAGTGAGCCAACTTACTGCACAGTCAGAGTCATTCACTGCATGAATTGCACCCTGGTCCATGCAATTTCTGGCGTTTGCAAGTTCATGGTCCACAACTTCTGAGAACTAAACTATTGCATTCCCAGTGTCAAGTATTTCTGTCTGTTTTGCAAATCTGTCTCAGAGTGCGTGTGCACAGTAGTAAGACACTGGTGAGGGGGTGGAGACAACAGTCATTGCCAGAGTGCCACATTCTTTCTGTTACCGAGGAAAGAATGTGTCAGCAAGGGGTATGGCAGCTCAGTCCCTGCGCTGAGCAAGTCAATTAAGTGTAAAACAAAACCAAAAGCTGAATTCATCCAGTATTCAGTGCAAAGTCCAAAGGAAGTGATCATCTGAGGGCTGTGATGAAATTTTTCATTCTTCTTTTATTTGGCTGAGAAAATGAAAATTAAAAATGTGCAGAAAGACTGTCCTCATCCTAGGACTTAGTAGGAATACACAATAGTGATGCCTCACATCGTAAACTAAAAGCAGAATATGTTCTGGCTGGGGATATTCGACCTAGTCTGGCATTCGCCAGCGGTGAGAGCTATCCCTGCCAGAGGTTCAGAATATCACCCCAAGAACATCCAAATACAAGTGGGAAGTCCCCTTCGGTCCCCACTGAATTTTTCAGGTAATGCCATCAAATCATCCCTTATCTTTGTGTACAATCTTCCCAAGGCATTGCCTTCGATCTCACCAGGGTGATTAAAGCTTTGAGAGGGATCCACAAAGACTCCACAGAGGCCAAAGGACACTGAACAAAATCTGCTCTGAGACTGTACTGTGCTCTTTGAAAATACTAACATTTGCTGATACCATTTTTGCTGTTGTGGCTTAAGATGTTGCTAATCGCTATGCAGCGAGGAACTGGCCTTTTTAAAGACAGGTTTTCAATAAAGAGCTTAAACAGAAAACGGTATTTCGAAGCAGGACTCGAGGTAAGTTTCATAACAAGCCTTATCTCTTGTGTTTATTTTAAATCCATTTTTGCTGAGCTGTTTGTAGAATGAAAAGCAAACTTTGGCTGTTTGCTGCTATAGAGACAGATTCAAAACTTTTTTCATCTATTGAATCTGCACAAGAAATGGTGTCATATAGTGAGGAACCTCACTCACCGGTACTGAACAAGTCTTTTCTTTACAGAAACAAAACTGTCTTGATAATTCAGCATGATCATTTCCCTAAACTATCCTGCCAAAATGTAAATCAAATAGAATCCAGATTCTAGCTGCTGATTCAATTATAATTTATCAGATTAGCAACATCAAAATTACGTTTGACTCATCTGGTTCAACTACAACTTCACCCAAGGGTCATGGAGTTAACGGGAACCCAGAAGGAACTGTTTCAGGCCCTGAACAATGCTCAGTCTGGAATAACATTCAGAGATTATCTCCTGTACTAATCATTTGGTATTGTTTTAGAGCACACCACTAATTCAGGATGAAATGCCCATGCTCTCCTCTCATCCACTCAACATCCACTGGATGTCTCACTGCAAAGCCAAACAGGTGAACTAAAGTATCATACAGCCCCTCTACCACAGAGGAAAGGTGATTATGGAGGGTTAACAAATATACCACTGAACTGAGATTGTAATGTCAGATCCAAGTTTTATTCCCCTCAGGCAGACCTAACAGATGTTATTTCCGCCAGTGCAGAGACGCTGAGGATCGTGACTGCGATGTAAGAGTATTCTTCAGGGAAGAACGGGATAAGGCGTCTGCACGGCATCTCCCAAACAACCCAGGGAAGCACATTCCAGACATCTCTTGGTCAGAATCTGACTGCTTCTACAGATGTGGAGGGCTGAAAGCCACAACAAAAGCACATGGACTTGTACTGACTCTGTGGCTGGGAGCCTGAAGGTTGAAGTGATGGCGACTAGTCATTGTAGCCATCTGAAGCGTTCGTTACCTGCTTTAAATTCAAATCTCTCTCTTCTGACATTTTCTAGAATAGGGACTAAAAGCATGAGCCTCTTCCTCCTGCAGAAGCAAAATAACCCTTCTCCTCTGATAATAATAAAAACAACAAAACCCCTAAATACAGAAGCAGACTATTACATACGCAGATTTCCCTTTGGGAGGGGATAAGAGAACAAACAGCAGACAGCTGTTAGGCGTATAACTCCATGCATTTCACGACGGTGGTGTTCAGGTATTAGGGTAAACAATGCATAAGGCTTTTCATGGATTAAATCAGAACTGAGCCATGTGAATGAAAGGAAAATCCCCAATCAACACTGGGAAACAACAGTTAATCTTCTCAGTTCTGATTGTTCAGACTGTAAAATTTTCCACACTGCCTGAGAAATCATCCTGCATTTTGTGATGAGAAAGGTTTGATAAGAGCTTCATCATGAATGCTTGATCAAAATAAGCAACAGTTGTTTGCTTGTTTACTAAAAATTACTTTAGAAGTTTTTTCCACAGTTATATGATAGAAAACACTTCTTTTTTATATCCCCATTTGTTAAAAATATTGGTTTGTTTTTTGTTTTTTTTTTACTTTTCCTTATATATTGTTTGTTAGTTGGAAGAAAAAGTTCTTAAAACAAAAAGGAAAAATATAACATGAAAAACCTTTAGCAGCAAGGCCATGCTTAAATAAATACGCTCAAAGTAAATGGAGAATACTGAAAACAAGGAGCCAGACTGATCAGGGTAAATCAGACAGTCCTAAGAATGGTACAAACAAAATAAATTGACACTGGAATTTGCTGGTAATTTAATTCTCCAGAAGATTAAAGCAGAGAACTTAAAATAAACAAACATTGCCATTACAAAAACTGCATAACTTTGATAGAACGCCAGGAATGGAAGATGTTCTAAGAGCAACGTGGGTTTCTGAGGCTATATATTATTTATTTTAGTTTGTAGTCATGCCTATGTGTCACTGGAACAGAGGAATCGATACAATGCATATGTGCAGGGAGCCTGGACTAATGTCACTGCCGCCCTGCTACAGGATGCCTCTTCTACTTATCGGCACCTTATTAACGGCAGCCCTGCATGAACGCACCCCCCTCCTTTTTTTTTTTTGGTGTTTTTTTAAAGGAGAAATTGTGGTGAGGAGAGGAGGGAAATTACAAGAGAAATCTGAAGCTGCTTGGCTTGCTGACTTAACAAATGTTACAGTCTTTGACAATGAGGCTTTTACTTCTTGCTCCAAAGATATTCAGATAGCAGCTTTCAAAGTCATGTTGATGGAACTTATATAAAGCTGATTTTTCTACCCAGTTAAATTTCTCCATTTTGCTTCTTTCATGTCTCACTAAACTGAAAATGCTCTCATTAACTTCAGCATGACTTGGATAAATTGCTTAAAAGTCCATAATTGAATATTGTATAGACCTCAAAATGGCCATGAAAATCCTAACATGACAGGAACTAGTCTTATATTTAATGAGCGAATATGACCTAAGAACTGTCAAGAATAAAATCACAAAATATGGTGTTTTGCCATCTTGAGAAACTCTGTGCTGCCCACAGACACATGGAAAGTTTGAGAAAACCAAGACCATCAAGTACAGGGCTTCATGCATTGAGAATGGTACCCAAGTCCCCCAGTGCAATTATATTTTTCAGAAAAGACTGATGAAGATGGAAGAAATTTTCTCCTTTTCTCATTATACCTCTACAATAGGAATCGATCACTTTTGGGAATCTAAATTTAGATCTACTGAAATCAAGTTATGTTCTCCAACTGAATTTGGCTCAGTCAGTTCTTGGTGATGTAACGAAGGTTCCTCTAAGAATGAAGTGAAGACCTTAGCCAGTTTGATGTTAACTACACTAACACACAATTAAGTGTGTAATACGTATTATCACAGCCTGGCCTATTCAGATTCTTTCTGATTTTTAAGCAGTAACTTTGCAAGATTACTTGCTGCAATATTTTTTACCACACTCCAGCCTTACATATATTATTTATATCTACTGAATATATCTGTATGAAAAACTGTAGTTTCACTTACCTTGTCCTAATACAGTGCTCAAGTGGAGGAGTAAGATCGTTTTCTTTATCTTCAGTGCACATCTGAGTTGTGTCTGAAGAGAGATGTTAGACATTATTAGTGGCTGGAATATGTTTCTATTCATACAGAATACCACAGTAGCTCCTAGAACTCCACCCCTGGTAGTGACAGACTGCCACTCACACCGTAGATCTGCTAGCCCAAAACAAGCACGTATCCACCTTGCATTGGCATACCCTGGAAGATGAGCACTGCTGGCACTTGAATCTCATGACCTCGTTCACAGCAGCTGAACAGAGTGGCCACAGACAGGGCCAGGAACGCTCAGAGTAGGTGCCACGACTACGGCTCTTTGTAGATAGCGTGGGCTCTGTACCTGACCTGGGAGTGGACAGTCTGGCACTCACTACTTTGTCATCTCTTGAACTCTTTCAACTAGTGGTCTACTACCTGTTCACATGATGGCAGGCTAAAGGCTGAAAGTGGGTGACTGAATGCAAACACTGTTGGGAATGATCCCCAGATTGTGCCCAGTATTAGATGTTCTGGGCCAGAAACTTGCCTAGTACTGTGCTGACTACTTAACAATAAAGGTGATCGTGGGACAGTGTTCAGACTCATGCCCTGACCCAGGTTAGTTTATTAACGCAGAGATGCTTTCAAGGAAAAACATGGATTTGAAAGTGAAAGAGTATGCTGGAGGGCCATCATGAGGTTTTTATCCTGCAACTGATGTTGTAATTACTAAGAAAGCAGTTTTCATTCTCAAATACTAAGCACAGCGGTAGTCCTACACTTGAAATCCCAAGTCCAGTCCAAACTGGGTTAAGATTCTTTCACCTGGGAAAAGATTGTCCCTTGACTGTTGAGAAAGAAATGCACAGACGGGAGAAGACAATGTTGCGTCAGATATAAGAGAGCTACCACAGGCTGTGAGCATTCCTTCGGGACATAGAGGCAATTGCACTGTTCCGGGGAAAACAGAGACTTCAGTGTCTCAGACACTGGATCTGTCAACAGTGAAAGTAGTCGCTGAACTTCCCAGGGAGAAAACATCCTACGACCAGCTTGAATGTCAGTCTGCTCAGCTGTTTCCTGTTTTGGAGTAAAACTCTATAGACTACAGCAGACCGGGTTTTTTTTCTTTTTCTTCTTTTCTGTCTGTCCTCCAGCCAATGGGTAGGTTGCGAGCCACAAATGATGCCAAGGCAGGGTGTAGGATATGGGTCTGCTTCAGTGAGACTGTAGACAGGATGGGAGGCAATTGCTCTCACATTCACAGTTGCCAGTCTCGGATATATCTGGCTTCCTCGTGTCCCGGACAGGACCTGGATCTCCCTTGCCTGTTCATCTTGTCGGTACAAATACGTGCAGAAAACTCTGAATGACTCTAAGGGCTGGAGTAGTTGGAAACAGACAATATTAAAAGTATCTAAAGTACTGGCAGTTTTCTCCTAGATCGTCAGGAACTTAGAGGTACACAAGAATCTTTTAAGTTTCAAAGGGCCTCTTCTATCCTAATATTGAAGAGTTTAGAATGGTTTGTCAGAGGTTGCCAATAGTATTTGGACACCTCTAGGAATCCCTCATACTGATGTTCTGGATCTTCTCATAGTAAGAAGCAACAGTCACTGTCCCAACCATAGTACTGGTAGTAGGACAGGCATACGGCATGGCTGCCTTTACCAGTTACTGTCAGCTTGATGAATTTTGTTGTTTTCAGACTTGAGTTCTAACCAGGAGGTTTGAATGGAGGTTTTTCATACAAAGGAATAGCAAAAAAGTATCACTAAAGGTGTATCTTACAGAATTAGGCAAGGAACATCTAGCTAAGTTAATTAACCAACAAGCTGTGTTAAAGTGTTTCGTACAGCTTATTTCGAGCAAGCAATACTGAAATTAATCTCTTCCATCTTGGAGTCACCAACAGCAAGATGGATATGAATATGATCTCTTATATATTCATTGATATTCTAAGCTAAGGGCAGTGAGAAACTGAGTGCCAGCACGGTTGCAGACAAACTTCATTCGGAGATATGATGAGGTTCAGAAGAGAGGAATCTGAACAGACAATCACTGAGAGAAGAAATACTGCTCATAATTTATATGGCAACCTTAGGAAGTGATGTTTTATTGATTATCTTTCCAGAAGGCTTTTGCACATTGGAACAATCTCATCTTAACTGTGAATAAAAACTCTTCTGAAAGAAAGTGTCACAATGAATACACCAGCCTTCCCTAGAAGCTGCCTCCAGTATCGGAACCTCTTCTAATTTCACTGCTTGAGCTGCCTTCTGTGGGATCTGCAAAGGGGCTGATGATAGTGTCTACGGCTCTGGAAGAATCTTCTGAGAAATTCAGTTATATTCTTAGCAATTATTCAGCTGCTTTTTGAAACCACCTTTAGAAGGATACTGAGTTGAAGGCATGCACCAATGAGATCTAAGAATGACTTATTAAAATAGATTGTACAAAAATTCCCTGTATCTTCACTTGGAGATAACATATTGTAGATGTTAACATAGGTAGGTGTTAACTGCACATATTATGTGGAAAAAAAATCCCATAATCTCCACTCAGTCCCTAAGCATCTGACAAAAGAAGACAAGCAAAATGCAGAGGGTTATTAATTTAGATACACTAGCTTGTTTTCCTTCTCTGCTTATCAGATATTTCTACCCCAATGGAAAGGATTGAAGAACCTTGATCTATTTAGGATAGTATGTTGAATTCACTAGCAGGCATTGCCTCTTTTAGGAATGATCTTCATATTTCTTGCCTATATTTTGGTAAATGATTATGAGAAACAGGGCAAATTCTCAATATAAAGTGGCAATTGCTATTACCCCCAAAATGTAACTCTGCTCTTTCTTTCTGGCTTTTTTGCCTTTCTTGCCCAGCATAATTTCTTCAAGATTTCCTGAATTGTGACCTTGATTGTCATCTTCCTAATTACAAACAAGATTCCCATTTCAAGGAATTCACCTTCTTGCTAGTGAAAAGCAAACATTTCTAACCAGCACCACTATGTGGCTGTGCAGCACCCGGGACCTCATGTTGTATCTCTGGGTAACACTGCCTAACCATCATAGCTTGTTGATGTTTCCACAATGGAAAAAACAGTAATACTTTACATTCTGATTTTTCCATCTGGTACTGTATGCACAGTTTAGATGTATTAGCAATATTACCCTTTGGATGTAACGTAATTTCATTTTTTCTCCAGACCTAACAGAGAAATCCTGTAAAGCCAGAACTAGGAAAGTGTTTCCCTGGAATGATGAAATTATTTACATTTCCCAGCCTTTTGTAGAATTTCACAGATAACAAAAGATTAGTATACTAGACACATCTCTGGAAGAGGCTATAGCCATAACAACAAGAGATCTACCTCTCAATGCAAGTTTAGTCTTTGAGAAGAAATATACAGATATGCCATGACAGGTTGAACAGTAAAGACAAAAATTTATACATAGTCTGAGCACTTTCTCATCCAGGGATTTCAGAGTGCTTGGTAGCTCTGGATTTTGGAAACATTCCTGATTTATTAATGATGAAAAGACAGATAAGGACACGTGTTTTGGCCCATATGTCACATGGTAGAACACAATAGAAAAAACGTGTCTCGTTTCTCAAGTCCTATGCTGAAATATATCATTTGTGCCACTTAGAATCATTTATCTGGGGCAGACCTTGTGGGAACTAGTTGGCAACTATAGTCTTGTAATGGTTAAGCATTTTTTTTGACATAATATATATGATCACTACAATAGAATGACAGGGATTTTAAGAGGATAAATAACAGGCAAAAAGATGATGGAATTCACCACTAGACTTTGTGAGATGCTAAAGCCCTCATTACTCCCACCATACAAACGGCTTTGCCACACGGGCTCAATCAGAACGTACAACACCCATACATAATTCATCCCACCCAAGAACCAGAACGTAGGTGCAAAAAAGGAATACAAATACCTTATTTTTACAGAGTGGACTACAATAGAGTGGCTCCTTAAGATTGAGAAGGAATTTGATTAGATTGTATAAATATATTGAAGGAAAGAAAACAAAAGATAAGTAGGATATTATTAGCAAATAGGAATTTAATGGTCAAGAATGTCTTAATATGGCAATAAGTAGAAGCTTTTTAAGCATCAGAATACTTCTTGTCCAAATGCCTTCCAGTTGGACAAATACATAATTACTGTAACAGCAGCTGCATAATTTGGCATGGTTTCCTGAAAGAATGAGTGTACCAAGCGGGAAGATCTTCTGCATGCTTGTGCTTCCAGGTATGCTGACAAGCCCGTAAGAGACTAGACTTTGTTAGCAGATTACTGCCATCTTCTGAAGTAGCTGGTTTTGGCAGCAAGGATTTGATGCTTCCTCACCCTCTCTGCTCATTTTACTACATGCATGTAGGGTTGAGGAACAGGACACTTGCACTTTCTGCCTGTGGAAATGGTGTGAGAAAATGTGAAGGAGAATGGGAGTAGTTAAATATGGTTTATAGTCCTGGGAGCATGAATAGGCCAGATCACAATCTGTTCCTCGGCAATCCGTGTCACTGAAAGATTTACCAGTCTGTATAAAGTAGCACATGCTCCCTCTCAGCTCTTGAAAGAGCTTATCCTCAAAATTTCCTTGTGAAATCTAATTTCCAATTAATCACAAAAACTAATTATGGAAATCAGGAAACAGGCACACACATAATCTTTAATGCCCGAGACCATCATTGTTTGTATTATTGGATTCTTCTTTCTGATGTGATGCTGTCACCACCACCAGAGACAAAATGCAGAGTTGCTGAGCTGTACATACCAACTGTTAACCGTATTTCTTCTTCCTGGTTGGCCAAGCCATCATAATAATATAGATCAAATCTCCGCTCTGTTTTCCAGTCAGCTAGTAAATCCTTTTCCAAACAAAAAAGCACACTGAAGTGACTTTCACTGCATACCAACCATATTGGGTATTTAGGGGTCTTCAGGTAACAACCAACCTAAAAGAAAGATACAAAACATTAGAATGGCATGGGGGGGCAGGGGGAGAAACAATTTATTGTGGAAAACATGAGATGTATAATAACACTTAATTATTATAGTCTACAAATATTAATGAAGGCTTATTATATGCTGCTGATGAAGCAGACCAGGATAGCTCTGGTAAATCATGGAACATATAAAGGCAGCATCTGGCCATGAGCTACAGGCAAGTAATGAAATCCAGCTGTAGTATCCTTACAGCAAAAATACCATAACCCAGATGATCAGAACCAAAAGGAACCTTGTCCTCTCCAATACCTATAAAACCGCAGTGAGTTTAGGTCAGGAATACTACACGAGATCAATGGGAGGCCGTGCCCTCATATAACAGTACCTGGAAGCCAGGCAAGAGACTCCATAGGATCTCAGATGACATGAGACACCCCTGTGTGGGGAACTAAACTAAACCCAAAATCTTTTCTTGGATTAAGAATATAAGGCATTCCCTTCACTTTAATATCTTCTAGCTTCAAAGCCCAGATATGTAAAATATTTTCAGCTACTAGAAGAAAGTAATAAAAAATTACTTGTTTTGATTCATTATTCTTAAAAATGAAATATTCTGAGCTAAAAAACCACAATGATTTCTTTAATAGATGCCTTTTCTAAGTCTTTGCCCTGCTTTCAAAAGTTTGAAAGTATACTTATTTATAAATATCCTACATATTCTGTATGAAATTGTATACAGATGATTTTTCTACTCAAGATGCTTTAAACTAGAATACCAAAATGATTGAAACTAGAATTGATGGGGGAAGGGGATGCCAACAGGATTGCAGTAGGTAAACCAAGGTTGGCATGGCATCACCTGAGGGTGGCAAACCTAGTGGGAACATTTATGCTGCTCCTGGGAGCACAGAGGGCTCAGGAGTGTGTCTGAAACGCTTGTACACCAACACACACAATAGGAGAAACCACCAGCGTTGGTCAGCTGCCATAGCTACAATATCATTGTGGAGACCTGGTGAAGAGTGTCCCACAGTTGTGTTCCGGGAGGGAGGGCTACAGGCTGTTCAGGAGGGGTAGGCAGGGCAGGCGAGATGGAGATGTCGCACTATACCGAAGGGAGAGGTTTGAACGCACAGCCCTTACAGGTGGCGATAATGTGGTGAAGAGCCTCTGGGTAAGGATTAGGGGGATGGAAAACAAAGAAGATGTTGTAGTGGGTGTCTACTAACAATTGCTTAGCCAGGATGCAAGCACTGAAGAGTTATTCTGTAAGCAATTAGAAGAAATTTCTGGAATGGCAGCCCTTGTCCTCTTGGGAGATTTCAAATCCCCAGACATCAACTGGGAATATCATACTGCTGTGATGAGCAGGTCTTGGAAATTCTTGAAGCCTGTAGGAGATAACTTCTTGTCACAGGTACTCAGTGAGCCAACTAGCAAAGATGCTCTCTTATACTTGCTGTTTGTGAATAGAGAAGGACTCGTGGGGGATGTGATGGTAGGTGGCTCTCTGGGCCACAGTGATCATGAAATGGTTGAGTTAAAGATTTTCAATGTAATGAGAAGAAAGAACAGCAGAGTTGCTACCCGGACTTCAGGAGAGCAAACTTTAAGCTATTCTGGGAGCTATTTAGCAGAGAACCCTGGGAATCTGCTTTTGAGGGCTTAGCAGTCCACAAGTCTGGTCAGTCTTTAAGAACCACCTTTTAAAAGCACGGGAGCAGGCAATTTCACTGTGTCGTAAGTCAAGAAAGCGGGGCAGAGGATCAGCTTGGCTGAACAGGGAACTCCTCATGGAGCTCGAGGAAGAAGAACTACATGATCTCTGGAAGCAAGGTCAGGTTTTGCAGGAAGAGTACAGAGCTGTGGTTTGTTTATGCAGGGAGAAGACACGAAAGGCCAACGCTCAGTCAGAGTTGAAACTAGTCAGAGCTGTTTCAGATAACAAGAAAGGCATTTTTAAGTATGTTAATAGCAAGAGGAGGGCTAAAGAAAACATTGGACCAATACTTGTTGAAGATGGTCTTCTGACTAACAGGGATGAAGAAAAAGTGGAGGCATTTAATGTTGTTTTTGCTTCAGTCTTCAATAATACTGATAGACCTTGGGCTGCCCAGTCCCTTGAATTGGAGGACCACAAGTGTGTGACCCATGAATTTTCATTTGTGGACACCGAAATTGTAAGGGACCACTGGTATCAGCTGAATGCTCACAAGTGCATGAGGCCCAATGTGATGCACCCCAGAGTTCTGAAGGAGCTAATGGATGTTACGGCTGGACCCCTCTCCATCATTTACCAAATGTCTCAGGAGTCTGGGGAGGTCTCTGCTGACTGGAAGCTAGCCAATGATATTCCAATCTACAAAAAGCACATGAGAGAAGATTCAGGAAACTACAGACCTGTTAAGTCTAACCTCAGTTCCTGGAAAAATTATGGAGAAGATTATACTGGGTACTACTGAAAGGCATTTAAGTAATAATGCAATCATTAGGCACAGGCAACATGGATTTACAAAAGAAAAGTCCTGTTTAATTAATTTGATATCCTTCCATGATAAGGTGACCTACCTAGTGGATGAAAGGAAGGCGGTGGATGTAGTTTTTCTGCATTTTAGTAAGGCTTTTTATACTGTCCCTCACAGCATCCTTCTGGACAAGCTGTCCAAGAACTGGCTGAAGGGTAGAGTTCAAAGGGTTGTAGTTGATGGGTCTACACTTGGCTGGCGATCAGTCACCAGAGGTGTTCCTCAGGGTTTGTTTCTAGGGCCAGTTCTGTTCAATACATTTATCAACAATCTGCATGCAGGAGTTGAATGCACCATTAGCAAGTTTGCTGCTGATACCAAACTGGGAGGTGCTGTTGACTTTCTTGAGGGACAGGAGGCCTTGCAGAGGGATCTAGATAGATTGGAGCATTGGGCTATGACTAACAGGATGAAATTTAAGAAGTGAAAATGCTGGATTCTGCACCTAGGATGGAGTAATGCTGGGCACAAGTACAGACCGGAGAGGAGTTTCCAACACTAAATAGTCTACTCTATTCTACTGATTTGAAGTATTATTCTTAAATCTACCAGCTATCTAAAATACGGGCTACTACAGCAATTCTTTGGATTTGTGAGTAATTGCTTTTATCTATATATGTATCCATTTATCAGTTTAATCAGTTTTTTCTGCTGCTTCACCCCACAGTCTTTAAGGCTCAAGTCAAGCAAAGGATTAAGGCTAGTTTTATGTATATTTAGCCTCACAGCTATTATTTCTCATGAAATTTATGTTTTAAGGCAGACATACATATGTTTGAATACCTGGGGAAATGCATCTATAGTTTTGAAACTTAATATATGCTGATATAAAACGAGTCAATGAGGTTTCCTGCATCCCTTGAGGTCAGTGAATATCTTGTAGTATTTTCTTCACCTTACAGTAATGTGTTCTGAGACAGATACCATCCTTCTATTGCATGCTGCTGCTTTAAAGCTGCAGTATCAGTTCATGATATTAGCCCCTTCAGTAGTAAACAGTAGAGTAAAAACAGTGATTGGATTGCTTAATGTAGCAAAGAAACCTTATTTCTTCCAGCTAGGATTTTAAGATTCAGCTACAACAGATACCTATTATTAGCTATATTCCTGTCATTGAAAGGTGTATTCTAAGCTCAAAATAACACTGATTTTTCTCCCATTGAATTCTTGAGTTTTGTGTCTTCGATAAATGCTCAGGGAAACTAAAAAACAAAATAAAACCTCTTGCTTCCAGTGGAATGCTTCTGACTACAGCTCTGCTTATTATTCTTATAGTAGACAGAATGGCTACTGCTCAGGACTCTTTGTAAAACCATCTCTATTTTAGCCCCAGCTTTATCCTTTGCTAAATAGATGTAGCACTGCTGGTATGGTGGCATGTTACCAATCTGCAAAACACAGAATGGCAGCCAAGTGCGCAATACATGTACATAAAAATATAAGATCAGTTTCAGTCTCCATAATACTGACACATGGATCAAAGAAACTTTGCTAGTTTAGAGGCTCAGGTAGTTTTGAAGAGATCTGCATAGTAATATGGTCAGTGACATAATCTACAGAAACCATCTCTGCCTATTGCTACCTTTACCACTATGGGATTTAAATCACGCTTCAGCATATGCAGTGGGTGCTAGTGCAAATTGGAAGACTTTTAACTGAAAAATTCTCATATATGTTTTCTAGATATAGATTCCCAGATACAGCTTCTAGAGTACAGCCCTCAGTTCTTCACCTTTGGCACACAGGTGAAAATGTCATCTAATATACTGCTAAAATGCAGAAGTCAACATATATGCTTTTGTAATTAAAAACCTAAACAGCGTACCAAGTGACAAGGAGTATGTGGGTTTTTTATTATTAAGATATAGAATTTATATCCGAAGTGTTGTATGACTACAAAATCAATTATTTTTGCCAATGAGAATTTCTTCTGATGTTAGATAACAAGTGTCTGGATAATTAAGTAACTGTTCCCTGACTTATTACTTTGCTAATATCTATTTAAAACAGCCTTTTATACAACAGTTTTGCTTTTTATGTAAATCCTTGGCTTAAAAGCAAAGAAAATTTTTGCAAGCTTACAAAAATACTCATAACAGGAATTATCAACAAAGGAAATACACAGATGCAACAAAAGATGGCAAATTAGAGGGATATGGATGAATAGATTCAGTCACAGAAACATGCATATTTTGATATGCAGATAAATCAAAGCCAAAAAGGAACAGCCAGTCTTCTCCTAAAAATGTGTTCTTCCTACGTATGTCTGCTAAAGTAACTTCCAAGCTTCATCAAACGACATTTGACAAAACAAGATTAGAGAGATACAGAACTGTTTCAAAGCACACATCCACCCCAATTCCTACTCACATGAACAGTCCTACTGAAGTCAGGACAAATTGTTCAGACAAGTAAGGTCTGTAGGAACATTTTCCAAATATGTATAGTTTTCAATTACAAAGCTTGCAGAAGGCGGCGAGGGC